GTCTCTAAGTGTAGCCCTGTGATAGACTGGTTACCTGTCCAGGTGAACCTGCCTTCACCCTGAGTCAGCTGGGATAGGCTCCGCCCCCCATGACCCTGGTGAGGATTAAGGTGTAGAGATGATGGATGCTTCAACAGGCCACATGGTTCCCTCTCTTCAACATGTGATGAACATTTTTATATAAACAACAAGTTTGTTAGAAATCCGATTTATTTCCATCGTCATGGCCCATAAAGATGAAAACAGAGTCACAATAATCCAGACAGTCAATAAAAATAAACACTCAAAGACTCTCAGTGCAAACAAGCTGAACTCATTCACCTGTTCCTCGTAGTGCAAACACATCAACATACTGTATGTACACGACACACCTGTGCACAGGTAGAGATGAGAACAGAACACAGTGATGTGGGGGTTTCTTAAACAGCGCCATCGTGTGGACAGAATTGGAATAAACAATGACCTGATTTTCACATGACTGACATTCTTTTACTTTAACGACATCAGCATCAAACCACACTTCATTCATAAATAACCACTTCTGTTTTTCTGTTGCAGCAAAGCGTCACATGACCATTAGACGTCACGTGACTGGTTCAGGCTTTTTTAAAAAATCAATTGCCACTATGATTATTCTTCTATAGACCATAATAATAACAATAATAATGACTTTCATCACTTTCCACGCTCTCTGATTGGTTTGTCACTGGGGATGCTGCTGATTTCTCAGCTCAGAGTTGAAGCTAACTAAGGAGGTCAGTTCACACCCTGAAGTGAAGGGCTGCATTCCAATACGTCACCTGTCAAATGCCAAAAATACCAGGATGTCCTGCATCCGATTTGGTTCTGCAGTTTGCCAACATTATGCTTTTCTTGCCATTCTGACCCACAGTGCAGCTACGCCGCTGTCTCTGTGTGAAGACAAACGCTGTCAATGGCTTGTTTCTGCTTGCTCAGAAACTGCGACATGTTTGACGTATGGACACGAACTGGGACTGGGTGCCGGACTTCTCGGTCATTTTGACATTTGACATCCTACGTGCCGTCATTTTCTGGCAGACTGTATACGAGGGCAGTCTGGCTGTTGGAAAGGGCCCAAGCTTGAGCTGCAGAGAGCAAACAAACAGGTGATTCGGTACAACAGACTGCAACAAATATCCAAGCAGGGCAGTCAGCTTTATGATGAAGCAGTTGGTCCGACTGTGCGACGGTGTTCTGCACCGGCAGGACGCAGCCTGATGACGTAAACGTTTTATCGATCATCTGAAGGAACAATCAGAATAATAAGATATATAATAACACTTTGAGTAATATGTGAATAATATTTAGTTGTTTATGTTGCGTGAAGTTTTACAAACTGAAGAAGTGCACTTGGTTTCATGACGACAAAAATCATTTTACAGAGAAGAAAAAGTGAACACTGTCAGACGCTATTGATCACATGATCAGTCTATATATTGACCACATGATAAGACTGTAGTGATCACAGAGTGTGTTAAACTCTGTCAAAGTGTGTGTGCATATTGAAACATGAAATCTCTCTGTGGCTTCAGGCTGATTTATATTTATCAGAAATCCCACAATGCTTTGCTTTAGTTTCAGTTACCTTAGATTCGACATGATGATAATCAGTCAGTTTGTTCATCAACAATCAATACAGCGCATTCATCAGCTTACTACTCTCTGCAGACAGCCGTCACTTATTGGCTGACCCAAAAATACAGACTGTCACATGACCCCCAGGTGAGCATGATGACCAATGACTGGAGACGACTGATCAGCTGCCTCAATCAGCTTGCTTTAAAACACAGTTCAGAGCTTTGCTCTGGTCACATCGTTCACACCAACAGGATTCATCTGAATCGTCATCACGCTCACCGCAGCCTGTGGACACACGGGGTCACACTGGAGTCAGACTGGACTCAAACTGGTGTTAAACTGGAGTCAAACTGGAGTCACACTGGA